GCACGGGTGGAGGCGCTGTGTGTGCCGAGAGGCACAAGTCACCTGGATTGAATTAAATAGGAGTACTAGGGAGATACGAGCCAGAAACCAAAAACAAAAGGCCACAAAACAGCAAACCCAAGCAGAAGCATTGTCGGACCACAAGGTTGAAGCGGTTACAGTCTTGGAGAGTATCCCAGATAGGATTCGCCAGGATTTCTCCAGTGTCTTTGTGGACAAAGGCTAGCTTGCTCCCAAAGGTGCTGTGCCCTCCAATGATCGGGAGCTGCTCGAGGACAGCAGTTTCAAACTCGTCTAACCGATCAAACTCCTGGAGATCGATGACGACTTGTATTTCTTCTCCAGAAAGGGTTGTCAGCATGAGTTGCAACACCAACTGTCGTTCATTGCTGACTAGCGAGCTCGTTTGTGACCAAGTATCGCCCACCATTGCGGCGACCTGCAAAGCTCCTACTTGAAATTTGAGCCTCGTCAGGGGTATTGTCCCTTTGAGCCTTCCTACCACAACCGTGGGAGCAAAGGGGGCACACTTATACCCAGTACCCATTCCCCATCTGGCAATGTCGAGGGACAGCTACTTGGGTAGCCGCCTGCTCTCTCTGGCTTTTCACTCCCGGACGGTCGCTGTTTCGATGGTTGTATAGGTTGTTTAGGTCAATTGCAGGGAGCGATCCAGTCGCTCTCCCTCGGCGGGATGTAGTGGAGCCACTTTGTGGTGGCTAGCTTAACACATTCCTCGAAGGCATTGAAGGCGGCATAAGGATATCGCCATGCCTCTAATTTATTCCTCCTAGCATAACCCAGGTGAGAAAGCTCGGCACAGTTGCCAAACGCCCTATACCCTATATAACGAATGCTGCCCGGGAGCGTGAGGTTCACCAGGGCGTTGCAGCCAATGAAAACCTCTCGGATCTCACGCAGGCAGGATGGCAGTTTGACTGTCTCCAAGCTATGACACTGTGAGTGCATGTGGAGGGTATGGATTTCAGTGCCCGAGATGTCTACCAGGGTGAGCAGTTTGCAACTCTCATACGCCCGGTGACCAATGAAGCATGCATCACTGCCTAACTCCACCTGTCGAATGCCACTGGCATAGAAGCCTCCTTGCGGGACTCCTGCCTGTGGGGTGGCCAGCGTAGCACTATCCATCATGGCTCTCACATGGGGCAGTGAGAGTTGGGCTAGCCCGTGTTTCTCGTGAACGTTCAGGATCATCATGTGCGTGTTGTGTTGGCGCATCTTTGTGTTGGAGGCCATCGCTGTTAGGTCGTGCGGTTACTACCCGTTTGCCTCAAGAGACTCGAGCCTCGCTGCAGTTTTGTGAGCATGCCTGATGGCCAAACGCCCTCTAGAAAACCACCGAATGAAATGGAAGATGATGACAGATGCTGAACCCACACATGTTTTTGAAGAACAGTAGTGGGGCAATAATCCACTGTTTTTCGAATACGTCTGTGGATGAGGAGCTTGGGGAACAGGCGATCTCAGCACCCCACTATGTAGAGCAGCACATTAAAAGGCTTGGGGCAGCGTCACGAGATGGTAACATGACAAGCTTGATGTCGACTCCAACGTGAGGGTGCACTACCCGGTATTACCCATAACAACCCACTTTGAATTTGATCTGGGTGTTTCATTCCACTCGCAACTAATGTTTCGCTTGGACCGATCACCAAAGATCTGCAGATCCAAATGTCTTTGAACATATGGATCAAATAACCTGACTGGGCATGTTTTTTCTCGATCGTATGCTGAGTCGAAAGTAAAAGCACCATGAACCATTGAATTGCACAATTGGGTGTGCTTGTTGGGAAAAACAATCAACCCAGGCGAGCTCGAAGAGAGGACCACGGATGATAGGAAAGATGATGTTCCTGCATCATGCTGGAGATGAATCGGGTTTGACTTTGTTTGGCCGTGGCTGTTAAATGTTCAGACCCGAGTTTGACACTAACCTATATGAATGAATGAGACATGTGTTGTGTCAATTGCCATCGTTTTGTGATGTTGGTTGTGGGGATGTTTGCACTTTCCCATCGCAGGCTTACGAGGTTATTTAGTGTTCTTTTGAGACCACGACGTTTTTTCAAAGCTCTTTGGGTTTGGTGTGTTGGACGATCCCCTGACCAATGGCAAAATGATGTGAACAACCCCAGCTGGCTAAAGGTTCGCTCATCCATTGTAGAGTTAGCTCATGGATGACCCGCTCCGCAAAGAGACCAAATCGAAGTCGGGTGTCCAAGCCACTTGCACTTCATACATTATATTGTTTTCAATGAACCGGCTGGTGTTGGATTTGGATTTTGATACATTTGAGTGTTTGGTTTTCACATTCGAAAGTATTCTCACGGTATCGCGCATCGCTATGTGAGGTCAGTCAGCGTTTCGCAGAAACCGAGCGAGGCTGGGATGAGGTGGAATCTTGCGACCGACAGGTTGGGATACTTCAGTCTTATCTGTGAAATGCAACATCAAGACCATTTGCTTGTGACCACCCGACAGGTCAAACATGCCTGGGCTGATGGGCCGAAGGCAGGCAAATTTGTTCCTGACATTGGTGCAGGAAGTCTGAAAGCCGAATCAACATTTGGTTTGCCAATTGGTGGTTGGTTGAGATCTCTTGTTCGCTTGAATTGACAGGCTGTGGTGAGTCCCACAGCAAGTACAGGACAAGTGTCACGAAAGCAACCTTGGTGAATGTGCAAACTGCCAAAAGCCACAGGATGACCTTGCCATGTTTGGTTCTCCGGCAACCATGATAATTGTTGTTCCGCAGTGATTGGTGCATTGTCAAAACTATTGTGCACTACCTGTCGTGCTCGGCCCAGCAGGTTGCTGTGCAGCGGTTGGAGGAGCTGGCTGACTGGCAGCCGGAAAACATCAATCTATTGTCAGAGACAAAACTAGCGAACCTAGCAGTGAACTCCCCACCATCACCTTGTCTATGAGTCTATGACGCCATTGGCTTTGCGAGATTGCGAAGAAAAACAGATTGGCCCCTCCCTCAACGCTTGGTGACAGCGATTGGCCCCTCCCTCCAGTTCAGGAATTGAACAGCTTGCTGGGTTGGTTCGACTGCTTTAGACCATATGTTCATGATCTGATGGTTTCCTCCATGTCGTGGTGATTGGTAAATGATAGTCCCAGGCCCTACAGGTCTTTGGGATGTTCCCAGTGGACACAGACAGACCTCTCTGACGGACGGCAGGATGCTGACGACTCTGAGTCAGAAGTCTCAGAGGAGGAGGTGGCCACGGTCTTTGGGAACTTGACACGAACGAAGGGTTGTGCATCCATCCACCCATGAAGGATTAGTGATGATGTGCTTGAAATATGCTGCTTGCCACTTCAAGTGATAGTTTTGTAGTAGTTTCAAGATCATCCGTCTAAGTAAACAACCCTTTCTCATGTTTCCAAGTTTTGTCGTTTTTTTTCTTCTTTGCTTCTTGAACTCGCTTGCTTCGCCCTCGGCACGCCTTCGCACAGCGTCTGTCTCAGGATGTGAGTGATGAAGAATCCTCAGAGGACACATACTACCTCACTGAATTACCATGCACGAATAAAATTCTGCATCGTCACGCGATGTGTGGGTGATTGTGGGGAGCATCTACAAATGATTGGAGGCCTCAGTCCCTGAAACAATGCTGAAACAGAGTGGACCCACTGGCCCTTTTGAACCAGACTTGGACACCAGACTTAGACACCTGCGGTGGGAGCCAACTGAGCAACTTGGCGAACAAACAGAGCCGCAACAGGGTTCCAAAAGGGCAGCTTTTCACTCCTTGAACATCTCCTTTGGCTCCCGGGACCAGAAGCGAACATGAAGTCGATGTTGCTCCGGTCGTGATACGCCGATCGAAGACCATCCAGGAAGTCGATGACTTCGATTGCCTGTGCCTACATCGGTCTGGCCACCAAGCGAGTGCATGGGATGATTACACCGTTTTCTTGCCATTTCTTTTGTTTGTTGTGAGAATGCAGGGGGTACCATTTGAGTCCATGGTCCACGTTCACTTGCCAAGGACTTGCATGTGATGAGTACATACATACTTTTACAGAGCAGTTAGACACAGGATAGACAACTGCTAGTCAACTCAGAGATGCTTTTGTCAGCTTAGACAATATGATTTGTGCATTTAGACGATGCAGTTTGCAGCCAGACATCCAAGCGAGACATCCACGCTGCGAGACATCCACGCTGTTTGCTTCAAGACTTTGGAGCCAGAGATGGATCATGCTGGATCTGATGATTCTGGCTTCTGATTCTGACTTCTCAGTAGAGTGGAGAACGCACGAGTCACTAGCCCCTACGAAATGCGGAGCGTCCCATTTGTGACACGCAACACACAGGTTTCATTTTTCGACCTCCAGTGGAAGCAGTCCTGGTCCGGTGGGGTTCTCAGAACGTCCTGCCAGTGGTGACATCATGAACCTTGGAAGCAAGACATGGCCATCATCGACCCCTGAAGCATCCCGAGTCTTTAGGTGGAAAGGAATCAACGTGGGAACAACCTGTCCCTGAGTATACAAGCAGATCAGAGGCTTTTTTGCAGCAACAAGCAGGGATGGTCATTGGGACATTGGCAATGATTACTTCTTTTCCTTCGTTGTTTTGTTGCTCCATGTAGTCCGTGGGTGACCGATTCGTTGGGAATCCTCTCGATCACTGTGAATCCTTCAGGTGTCCTTTGACTGTGAAAGTGCACAGCAGCTGGCCGACCGGGCGGTTTTTGACCTGAAGGCTGGCGCCTCGCTGGGGGGTCGCTTCAACTGATGTCGCTAAGACGCGCGCAAGTGACTAAGCGATCACTGTCATCTACTCCAAGTGCGTGAGGTACATTGCAGAAGTGGTGGATCTACCATGTTATGTTGTTATTCCTAGAAGCAGTAATTTGCCTGTGGCGTTTGTTATCCCATGACATCCCACACGCTTTTGGCTTCAGGTGCAGTTGTGATTTTCTAAGCTGTTGAAAGCCCATTTCAAGGAGCAGACGCGAGCCATGGCCAATCCTGCCCTCACTGAAGATGCCGTGAACACGGGCGCAGTTGCATGGGTTTTGACCTCTGCAGCCTTGGTGTTCTTGATGACAGCCGGTCTTGGCTTTTTCTACGGCGGCTTGGTGCGAGACACCAATGTGATCAACACTATGATGATGAGTGTAGCATCCATGGCCATTGTATGCTTGACGTGGGTTGTCTTTGGGTTCTCTTGGGCCTTCGGAGACAATGGCTCCACTGGCTTTGGGATGTTCGTGGGCAACTTTGACTACAGCCTGTGGACGAACCTGGACATGAAGATGTGGGGTGACTCGGGGCTCCCTGGTCTTTGTTTTGCAGCTTTCCAAATGACCTTTGCCATCATCGCATCAGCGATCATCTCGGGCTCTTTGGTGGAGCGTATGCGCTTTAGTGCATATTCCATCATGTTGGCCTTGTGGTCCTTGCTAATCTACGCCCCACTCTGCCACTGGGTTTGGGGTCCTGGTGGCTGGATCGCTGAATTCGGAGCTTTGGATTTTGCTGGAGGCACAGTGGTGCACATCAGCTCCGGTGTGTCCGGCCTCGTTGCAGGTGCCATCGTCGGACCCAGAAGGCATGTGGAGAAGGAGCTGGGACCTGCCAACGCTCCTTTCGTAATCCTTGGTGGCAGCCTGCTGTGGTTTGGCTGGCTAGGCTTCAATGGCGGATCTGCTTTGTCAGTGAGCGATGGTGTGGCGGCCCGTGCTGTGGCCACCACATTCGTGGCAGCAGCTTCTTCGATGTTGACCTGGTTGATGCTGGAACGCCTTCTTAAGGGCAAATCCACCAGTGTAGGAGCCTCAGTAGGAGCAGTGGCTGGGCTTGTGTGCATCACCCCTGGAGCGGGCTTTGTAACGCCTGGGTGGAGCATTGCCATTGGTGCTTTGGGTGCCGTTTGGTGCTACGCCTCTGTGGAGGTGGTTAACAAGGTTAATTTGGTGGATGACACTTTGGATGCCTTTGGCTTGCATGGCATGGGTGGCATTGGTGGGGCCATTTTGACCGGCATTTTTGCATTGGACGGTGGCCTGATCTATACTGGAAGCTTCGAGCTCTTGGGCAAGCAGATTGTCGGTGCACTGGCAGGTGTGGCCTTCTCAGCCATTGGCACCGCCATCATCGTAGTGGCATTGAGGCTGGTGATGAAGCTGCGAATCCCAGAAGAACAGGAGGTTGAAGGTGTGGACCAGCACACTCATGGCGAGACCTACCACAGTCCTGTCAAGAAGTACCCTCAGATGAAAGAGTCTGAGTCCACTGAAGCATCAGACACTGTCTGATTTTGCAGCTTTTTCTTCCAAGGTAATTAACTGCTTCAATTTTGGCATAAGATGAGGGTGGAGTCCTTGTCAGCACGTTCGCATAGATTCGATGCTTGCAACTCGAATTGATCTCCACAAAGATGGTGTTTACAAGTTTGCTCGTGGGAACGCACGAGCAACTTTTATGTTCACTGTCCACTGTCGGATGGAAGAGAAGCAATTGACTGCTGTTCAGCATCCTTTGCAGATGGAAGCTGGACATCCTTGAAATTGAAGGCTATGTATGTATATACAGCCTTGAATATCTATATATATATATGTCTTCCCATCGGGGTTAGGAGTCACTAGGAGTATTTGATTCAGCAAGGCAGTTGGGGGCGCCCTTCAAACATTGAGTTGTTCGCGTTGCAGATCCGGAATCGTGAGGCGCGAGGGGACATGGCAGGGTGCCGCAAGGTCTACACTGCCAGAAGCTCAGAATGATTTAGCTTTGCAAGCTGATTGAGGCAGTTCCGATCTGTGGTCCATTGTGATCTTGACCCATGTGTATTGAGTTTTATTCCCGGACCCAGTTGGAGTTATCCTTTTCCCCGTGAGGTCATCAAAAAATCTGAGATGGAGATTACAGGAGACGGCGTTTCCTGCAAGGCCTGGTATGTGGAGGTTGGATCCCCAAGCGTACAAATGTGTGGGTAAAAGGACAACTTGAGGAAACTTGACACCCACGGTTTTGTTCCTTTAGATTCTGTGTCGGCTTGGAATATCGCGGATCTCCAATTCTTAACCCACTCTGGTGACTTTGTGACCCAGCACTGCAAGACATGATCATGGGCAAAGCCTCTTTGTTTCTGGCCCAGGGTGATCCAGAGCAGGCTTTCTGTCTTCCTTGCACAGGTCCGAGTCCAACGTGCTGAAGTCGCGATCGCCGAGTTGGAGGAGGTTGCTGACGAGTGGACTGAGTCGCCTCATCGCGCATTGGCGGAGAAGTTGTTCATGAATGCATTCCGCGCATCCGGGACGAGTCGATTGGCTATGAATTGCGACAAGAGTGAGGACTTCTCGGAAGGAACACTGAATTTGTACATGAGAAGCGTTTTGCGGGTCTCAACTCAACGACTCTGAACCTTTGACTGCAAACTGCCTGGCCAGGCCATATTTGTTGTGACATTGGTTCCTGAGGGCGCAAAGGCCATGTGCGACTGAGCTTGACTTGCCTCAATCTTCACAGAGAGCAAAGATGCTCTCGGCGCTGTCCTCTTTGAAGTCTGAACAGTTGGAAATTTGAAACGCATCGAGTGAATCGTCATCCAACATGACTGCAGCTGCCGTTCCACTTGTCATTTGGCAGGGGGCAGAGTGGTGCTCACGGACAGAGAGGCCAGGCCTATGGGAATGTGTTTTAGTTCCTTGAAAGGCTCAGCAACCCATATATATATATATATCAAACAGTCGAGTCAAGCCAAGCTTTCCTTGGAGGAACTACTTCACACGCCTGACACGGCATGTAGATTACAACCAAGATGGATTTGAGGGTCTAATGTTCGGGATATTTTGATCAAATCCCACAGCGGTTTAGATTTTGCTCTAGATGCTGTCAGCATTGACGTTGAGATCGTCCATGCATGTTCCACTGAGGGCGCAAAGGGCCGCAAAAGGTGTCGAAGGTTGGATTTTTACCTGCCTGATCCTTTGTCGGTGGGTCACAGCGCTGACGGAAGGGGAGCTTGAATTTGACATGAAACAGCTTGAGGCACCTGAAAGAGAACGCTACTAGGAGCAAAGGGCATCGCTACTAGGAGCAAAGGACGCTACTAGGGGCTCCTGGCCTTACTACTAGGAACAATGTTTGCTACTTGTAACGATAGCTCCGTCGTCATGGCCCAGGAAGGCCACACATTGGCAGTTTCTGAGGTGGGTCTGATCGTTTGCATGACTTTCTCACCAAGATCAGCTATGCCGGTGGAATTCGATCAGGCACAACGACGTATACTGGATGACTCGCATTCTTTTTGGCATTGTAGGTGCTGGACCATAATCATGGTTCATGGTGGTGTTTGTGCGCTTGGAAATCATGATATGCTTTCTCGCTTTACTTGGGACTTGCTTTACCCCAGATGGCAACCGAGTCTGGGAATCCCTACAGTATGTGATGCCTTTTGCAGTTGGACGTCCATGCGCAGGCTTGACAAACCACTACCACATGTTTGCCCAGGCGCGTACACGGACATGGATCAAGATTCTGTGAAAAAGCTGCAGACTGCTAGATGCAATCTTTCCTTTCATGTTTACATTTCTTGGTTATGATCAAGGATTTCTCTACTGCGGTGAGTACGGCGATTGTTATAATATATATATATATACATATACAGATTTCCGGGTAGTATACAAAATATTGTATAAATCAATACTAAAACATATATATATATACTGTATTGTATATTCCTTGCAGTGCAGATGCGGGAGTCTAATACCAGGCCGCTATGGCAATCTTAAGATGACACATGAGTCACAAGTTTACCGAGTCAACATTTGATCAAGTCAACCTGCCGCAGCCTGTCAGCCAGGGAAAGCAGGGGCTCGGTGCCTTCAGCTTTGTAGCAAGGGGTGCCCAGTTCAACTCAGCGTCTCATTCCTGGCAATGAGAAGTACTTGAACCGTATGTTTGGGTTTTATTTGTTTTGCTTGGATACTTGGTTGAACTACCGACAATGGACAAGCAGGGGCTCAAGTGAATGCAGTACAAGCATGTGAAGTGTTTGCCGCTCACTCACCAAATTTTGCAAGTATTGAGTTTGAGGCTCAACATGTTGTTTGACCCAATCTGTACAATACGGTTTATTTGACTGGGGACGTGAATTGGACGCATGGTGCTTACCGCGGAACATGCGCGCGCTCTTGACATTTACTGGAGTTGGAGTCCGCTTGGCAACATTAGGATCGGAATTCCGCAAGTGCCCTGCTCTCCAGCGTTGTTTTCTTGGCTGCTTTTCTAAGGCCTGTGCGGCTGAAATGAAGACTGACCGGATCGTAGCAATCAAGAACCTCAAACTGCAGGCACTACACGTTGCTCTTCTCGTTGCCAAACAATGTGTGGGGTCAAACGCAGAAGGAATTGGTAGGATAACTGTCGACTGTGAATGAATGTGTGTACTAAAATGGGAAGAGCCCCGCACAGTGAACTTGGAGGTCACAAGCCGGTACTGGAAAGAAATATGCTTGCCTGTTTTCTACTCTCTTGTTGGCCTTCAACTTTCCAACAGTTGTGGATTTGAGCTTCAAATTGTTTTATTTGCAATCTTTGAGTCATTCCTGCACCAGGTAAACCCCATCACCATTTTTAAGGAGGCAAGGCAGTTGTCAGCTGAGACTAGCTGTTGGCCATGCGCAGTGGTGGTGATTGGGTTGGACAGGAATTGCAGAATTGAAACAGATGTCTCCCTCTGGCTGGGCCACAACTGTTCAGCTGTAATTTTTGAGAGGTGCCTGGGCTGTTGAGGAGGATTCAATTCATTGAGCATCTTAAGAGCGATGGCCTCCAACCTAAGAGCGATAGCGCATCCAACCTAAGAGCGATTGCCTCCACCTAATAGCGTCCTTGTTACTTGTAGCGATGCCCTTTGTTACTAGCAGCGATGCCCTGCCCTTGCTACTAGTAGCTTCTTGCCCGGCCCCACCAGGTCGACATGTTACGTGCGGGGCAGGGACTCTCAGATGGCGCCTGCCTCACGGTGTCGTCACGGTGTCCTCGTCACGTTGAGGCAAGGCCATCCGAACATTGTTCGCTTCCACGGGCTGTGGGCCGACTCGACCCCATCCGAGCAGTCCAAGGCTGGAAGAGGTTCATGTCGAACGACCGTGGATGGGTGCAAAGATGTGGAAAGCGTTGTCTTGGAAGAATAGAACAATGCTTTTCCCCACTGCTTGGGAGAGAGCGTTCATGTTTGTCCCTAGCTCTTCGCTGGAAAAGTCAAAAAGGAGGCAAACAGCGCAAACAGTTTCCTCTCGTGAGTTGAAAGGACACTGTGGGGACTCTTGACAGTGGTTTTTCCACCAAGAAGGCAGCAAAAAACATGTTTAAGTTGGTGGTTTGCCAACTCCTGCGCACCACAGAAACCCACCGCTGGATATGCAGCGCCCCATCAGGGTGGCAAGCAATGGTACATGGTCATGGACTACTTCAAGTGCGATCTGTGTCTTGGGCAAATGTTGAACTAGGTCCCCATAAGTCCCTTTGAGGTTCTGTCGAAGGGACGACATGAATATGTACAGTGTTTATATATAGATCTTTTGAGTATTGGCCTTCTGATTCCATTGAGGTTCCTGGCCTTCCTTCTCTTGCTGCAAGTGTTGAAGCTGGCGTTTCTCACCGAGGTATGACCGCATCGTGGAGGGTCGCAGGCTTCGAGAAAAGGACTGCAGTGTGCGTTGGCGTTTAAAGTCATGTCTTGTTTTGCTTTTGCGTTTTGGCGACATTTCCCACGTGGTGCATGGGGATTGTTTCAGCTTCGGCCATTATAGCAACGACACACCACTCACACGACACGACAGTGTGGTCTCTCAGGAGTGTATTCCCATTCTCCACAATGTGTTGGCTGCGCTCAGGGCTCAGTCGGGAGATCGTAGGCTCTTCTTTCAAAGCATTTCAAGGGCAAGGTTTCTTCTTTTTTTAAATGTTTTTCACCGCTCAAAAGTGCAAAAGCTGGTTCTGTGCACTTTTGGATACTTGTAGCAGCGGATAGCAAAGCACTTTTTCTCAGATTCAATTACAGTCTTTGCAGATTCGATGACAGGATTGCTTTCCTACACCAGCGACAGATTTTCCACAGGCCAGGTTGCAAAGTCAGAAATGTTTCTACTAGCTTCTTGTTACTACTAGTAAGGCACTTGTTACTAGTAGTGATGCACTTGTTTCTAATAGCTTCTTGTTACTACTAGTGCTGTGCTGTAGCTGTGAACATTTCTACGCACTTGTGGTTTTTGAAGTTTGGCCAACGTTGGGGGTGGTTATGTCGCAGGTCTTAACGCTCAAATGTCTTCCCTGAGAACTTTAAGGGAAAAAGAGGAATCAAGCCACATGGACACACTTGGAGGACCTTTCATGCCTTTTGATGCCTGCAGGGACATCAAGCCAGAGAATTTGTTGGTCGACACTTCCGCGAGGGTCGTCGGAGCCTCCAAGACATGCGCAGAGAATATCACCAGAGGACAACGCTTGCAGGTTCTAAGTATCCTTGTACTCGTAAGAACTGGGCGACCCTGTGAGAAGTGACATCCAAGATTCTGCAAGGCCCTTTGCGGAGCAGAACTTTCATGACAACAATAGTCCCTTCCCCATTTTAGCAACAAACCCTGTCTTCAGAAGCTAACAACAAGAATCTTGCAAACACAAACCTGGTCACTCCTTTCATCTCCACTTGTGCAGGCGTTCTTGAATGCAAAGGCGGCAAAGAGATGAGAGATGATGACATGTTTGCTGCGCGAAGCCCAGGTCTTGACCGATTTCGGTATCGCGTGCCTTGTCACGGAGCAGGAGGAGCTCAAGCGGGTAGTTCCTTGGCATGAGCTGACATTTGGAATGTCCAAAACAGCTACAGATTTGTCAATAGCTGTTGGTCAGAGGAGCTCACTTTGTAAAAATCTCCCTGGACTTGGGGCTGCTCAGGTGGGCACCGTGGGTTATGCAGCTCCAGAGATGCTGGCAGGCACAGCCACGAGCTTTGAAGCGGACGTCGCTTGGTCAAACTGAGGTGGACGTCTTGGACGTCGATGGCAGTCTCTGGTTGCTATTTGGACATGGAATGATTTTCCTTTGTGATAAAAGGTCAATTTCCAACTTCACTTTTGTAGACAGCGTGATACACTTCCATTTCAATACAACCAGGTTCGGGTAAGTGGAACAGCGTCTTCTTCTTAATATATATATATATATGTATATAAATATCACGAAAGCCAGCCGATAGGCTGGGCTTGAGGTTCTTGAGCGAACGAAGTGAGTAAAGGGGGTGTGGGGGGTGGTCGCGTGGGTGGTCACTTCCGGAGAGGTGAACCCAGAGCCTGGTGGGGGAAGAGGCGGGCCACTTGGTAGTGAAAATGAGTGTTTTTTGGGGTTGTTGTGATGCCGGTAATGTAATTGACGGCCAGTAGTGAGGCCATGTAAACTGTTTTTACTAGGGGTGGGAGTTCATGTCGATGAGAGGAAAGGGAAGACAAGGGGACGTGAAAAGCTGGTTAGAAGTCATCCTATACTTGAGAGCAGGAAAGAGAACAGATTGCAGTTGCGGGCAAGCGTTGGAGGCGGGGTTAGGGGTGCCCTTTTTTATCCGTGGCAAGGTCTAGCTGGTGGACTCAAAAGGGCACCCCATATCGGGAGTATCCAATCACGAAAGCCAGCCGTCATTTCACTTGAAGCATAGACCAGCGCACCATACCAAACCTACAGGGTACCCTTTTTCACCTCCACAACGCCCCGACATCAAGACGAAAAAGGGCACCCCGTCCCAAACCTATGTATTCTACTGTCTATTTCCACTCTATCTCGAATGACGGACATATCCACTTCACCACTTCCGGCTCCGCTTTGTCCACTCTACCTGTATACATATAGGTATCCTCACGAAGGCCTGCCGATAGCCTCGCCCACAGGCTTCCCACAACCATCTTTGCTCACTGATTAACAACACGCAGCAGGCAAACTCATATAGTATATTTGGGGATTTTGAGGGGTGCCCCTTTTCATTTCCAAAGCACTCCTGGACCTGGACGAAGAAGGACACCCCCGTTTTCTTCTTCCCTCTGTTTCTACCTCCTATCGGGTGCCTGCGATCCCAACTTCACCCCATATTTTCTTGTCCTTTTCCACTCTACCTTGCACACTGATGTCTATATATGGGGACCTCCTCACCTACCCTACCCTTTGCCTCGCACGTGCACCCCCGCCGCCGTCTCTGCCCTGGTTCGCAACACGCCGCCGGCAAAGGCGCCTCACTTCCTGAGGGGTGCCCTTTTTCATCTCACAATTCCCCGTAAACAAGGACAGAAAAGGGCGCCCCCCCCAGACCTATATCTTCTATTGTCCACTTCTACCCCCTCTCCCTGTGGCTGCGATGTCAACTTCGCACCACGAACTTTCTGTTTCCCCGATGGTGCCCCATCACTTCCTTTTGCACGCCACGTCGGTGCCCGAGCCTACCCTAAGAGCACCCCCTAAGCCAGAGGCTGGCTTTTGTCCCCTCCTCTTTCATATATATATATATATAGGGGTGGTGCACTCTTGCCACAGAAGAAGATTGCAAGGGGTACCTTGTTCATAGAGACAGTAGAGCCACGTGTTTGTTTGGCCTCGGGGCAATACCTTAACTCGTTTTGTGGAATACACAGTTGTAGCTTGAAAGTCTTGACAATGCTTGCTGCTTGTCATGGCGGTTATGGCATGGCCATTTAGTCGACATCCAAAGTTGATCTCAACGGCAAGGCAGCGAACACCAGAAGACCAGAAACGCTAAAGGCTTTTGTCTCATACGTACGCAGCATCCGACGGGTTGCCAAGGAGTTCGGTGCTGGCATCGTGCTGTACTTCATGCTCTCGAAATCCACACCCTTCCTTGCACCCACGACAGCCAAAACCATCGAAAAGACCATGGAGGGCAAGGCCTGGTTATCTAGGGTCATGTGAAGGGACCTCAAGACGATATGAGTGTTGGTCGAAAGCCCCACTCCACCCCACCACATCCTGCAGCTGCAAGTCGTAAGTGATCCCCCTGAGTCGGAGGTGACCCCCCCTGCCCAGGTGAGGCCGCAAAAAATGCAAGTCCATGTGAAAACTGCCATTGGGCCAACTGAAGACGTTGGTGTTAGTGCATAGCCTTCAGCTCTCCAGGTAAACTTGCGCTATGGCTGCTTTGACCACATCAGCGAGCATTGTCGCACCATGATCTATGGCCTTATCTGCAAGGCACGTGTGGGGCAGTGTCAAGAGTCCAGGAGACTTTCTGTTTCTGAAATCGGAAGTGTTTGAACCGGGACCTTTCGCACAGTTTCCAGTTTCCAAGTCTCGCAAGAGGTTGCTTAGAGAATCCAATGATGTCAGCAAGCTCGGTGCTACCCTCATGATTTGCACTGGAAATGTGGTACCTGGCGTGCTGCGCGGAGTGGGCTTGAAACCCAAGAAGGGTGTGGGCTGGTCACACAGGAAACGGAAGCCCTTGACCGCTGCGCTGTCGGACAGGATGTTGCTGCCAGAATCAAGGCCCATGAAGCCTTGAGAACAGCCTACATGCCAGGGCCAAAGAATGGGATTGTTTGCATGAAGCTGTTCCTCGAACGTCTTGACTCGCACGCCTTGCCAGACATGAATGCTGCACACACATGCTACCATCCGTGTGGACGGTGGGTGTAGGGTTGGAATCTCAACCACCCGTGTAAAAAGAGCCCATGTGGATTCTTTCTCAGGTAAGCCGATCACGGGGCGACCTTCCTTGGTTCAGAGACAAAAGACTTCAGGTGACCAGAGTAGTTCAATGTCGAAGGGGAAGAGTACTGCACAACCAGAACATTCTTCGCATCTCTTTGACGACCAGTGTTCCCCACAAGAAAGCCGAGGGCCGTGTCTTGTCACACCAATTTCGATGCCCAGGATGTCTCGTGCGAGCATGACGGAGCCAGTTCTTGATAGCCGCTCGTTGAGAAAGGACTGCACATGAGGAGCTGGGGTAAAAAGGAACAGGTGAGTAGTACGGACCAGTCACACCTTCGCTGAACAGCAGGCCCAAGGATGGCCTTTGGCCATGTTGAGAATGCTTCGCAATTTCAGTGCTCCTCAGGTGGGCAATGTAGGTATGTCGCCTAAAGGCCCCAAGGGCACAAAAAGGGCTCGCAAGCAGTACAGACCGCAGCATGGCGCCGCCATCCGAGGTATACCGCAGGTGCAGCCAAAGAAGTCTGATCGTCAGAGAGCTGATCGTCAACGTTTGTTTGGGTTGTTTGGTACTCAACTTAGCTGGGCCAAATTAGGTGGTTCCTTCACTTTGTTTGGTATCGGCTCATTCTGTTTTTCCAATCATTCTTTGCGGCACCAATCAAAAATTGTGCTACTTGAGGCCGCAAGGAAACCTGCCTAATGTCATGGAGGTCTCTGAGCCATCTGACAAGCTTGGGCCAGGGTCTTGGGAACTCGTGGGACCCTTGTGGAACAGACAGTGGGACCGCCGGGCCCAGTTCTGAAGCAGGACTTGTTGACTTGTTGCTTTTAATTCCAACTTCTGTGCTCGAGGCAGCTGTTCTTTATGGCTGTCCTGGGATTTGCCAGAGTGCTTTTGAGACCTTTGGGCGCATGAAACTCCGATATCCATGGTATAACTAACACTGGTCACACGTTGGTATTAGGGCCTGAGTGTTTTTACTGCTACGTATCGTTGGCGAGCTCGTTTTTGCGAACCCTTTCAGTGTTTTGAGGCCTTGGTGTTTGCAAAGTAGGTGAACTACTTGTGTTTTAGGGACACAAAGAGCATTTTGCACTGCAAATCTCAGCATTTCTACCCCGTTTCCGTGGTTGTTTGTTTCGACGGCCGAAGTAGTTGGCGCCAAACCATTTTTTTCAGAGCTCCCCGAGCGCTCTTGTCAGGTCAACATCTGCATCTAAGTTGGAGCGCCAACAAAAGCGTCAGCAACAAAAGGATCAGGGTTGGAAGCATCACAAAAGGTCCTCAACAGGCTATCAATTGAGAACGGGTCCACCTCAAACCACCCTTTCAACAAGTGCGGAACTTCATCCACCCCTGTCCAGTGTCCCAACCGCAACAACAAAATGAAAGCAAGAGACAAAGCAGAAAGAAAGAACGCACCACACTGAGACCTGGAAAACTGCGGTATACAACGCACGAGCTTGACGGAAAAGACACCCTGTGCCAAGCATAACGCATTGAGAGACATTGATGGAACATATAACTACCTTTTCAGCAAAGACGACTCACAACCTGCACTGCATCAACAACGGACGTTATCCCGGCCCCCACCCGTAACAAAGCATACTGTAACCCCCATGTAACATGAACATCACCGCAGCATCACAAGTTCTATGTATGAGGTCCAAACGCACAAAACGCCCGGCCCCATTATCACCGTGCCTCCAACTAACTATATACATGGAAAATCCAAGTCTTTGCAAGGTGGTGCTGCAAATACAGAGAATTGATTGTGAGAGTCAATACTTGGAGCCGGAAGACTGAGGTGTGCCACGCAGGGACACCTTCCGTTTCTCCGCAAGAAGTGAACCGCGGTTGTTCGGCTGGCCGGTGGGACAGTATTCTGACACCTGGTGAGCTACTTCACGAGAATCCTTGCAGGGACTCAGCACAGATCCTGGATGAGCGCCAATGCTGCGCACTCCTTGCTCCGACATGATGTTGCTCTCGAATGTTCTGACATAAACTTGGATCCCTTGTGCTGAAGCTGCTGGACTGACAACCTCTTGCAACACATTACATGTTTTGTTAGCTTCAGAAGATGGGTTCTTGGTGGTGAGCGAGAGGTCTGAGGCACCAGCAAACGGAGATCAGCTGGCAGATATTTGTAGAGCCCTTGCTGCCTTTGCAGGGCCCCCCGACCCAAACACAGAGGATAGACTTGTGACTTTTGTTTGTCCAAGGTTGGGTGATTTAAACAATGCTCTGCAAAGAGTTTGCAACCCTTGAGGTAAAGAAGCTGTGTTCAGACTCCCTTTCGAATTTCTCAAGGGATGCAGTTCCGGCTTGCAGTTCCGGCTTGCAGTTTTGCTCGGCCGGTGCCCATGGAGCCTTTGTACCATGCACTGGTTTGGAACATCTTTACATAACCCGACCCAAACAAACACCCTTGTCACAAACCTTTCTGATGTTGACGATGCAATATGAGTTACACGGTATTGCTGACACCAGAGATCAGGTTGCGATGCCACTCAAGGTGCTCAGGGCAGGTTCCATGTACCATGAGGACACATTGTAGAATCATTGTTTCCTCAATGGTTTGAAAAGATGCTTGTGAGCTGGAAGGGCGAAGACTGCGACCTTTTGATGGACTTAGATAGCTTGGGACTGACAAAGATGCAGGTCCCACGATTTGTTACAGAAGCCGTAGAAGAACCTGTTCAAGCGGGAGTCTCGTTTTAAGCTATCAACGACTTCTTCATTGAGAGTAGAGAGAACTAACATAATCTTGATAGTGATTGACGTGCTGGATCTGTAATTGAACACGTATCTTATCTTCTCTAAATTGAGCTGATTTGAAAGTAGTCAGTAGAGCTGTAGACGCCCTCTCAAAGATGGCATGTGGGGAATGCAGAAAGGATCGTATCAACATCAAGATGGGATGTAAGGGAAGGCAACGACTTTATCTTCATCGTATCAACATCCTTTATTGGCTGTCTGCGAGCTCGAAGGGTGATCTTTGCACTTGAACACGATTGTATGTAGCGCATGAGTCAGCTTCCGATTTTTGCCGCCGGCAAATGTTGATTGCTGAATGCAGTGATGAAAGAGACCCTGCTCAGGCATTTAATCACCGGGTATTGAGTATTGAGTAATGTTAGTTTGTAGAAATGGACAACGATGCCTGGTCTCCAGAGAGCAAAAGGTTCTCTATTGCTTCCAAAAGCTTTCAAATCTATATAGAGCTTGGCTTCGGGTCCTGCTAGGCAGACATGACTGTTACTGTGAAGCCTGGTGCCATGGTGCGGTCTCCAACCCATGGATGTTTGGGCCGGTGCTGAGGCTGGTGCGGAGCACAAAACGTTTGGATGTTATTTTTGCAGCTTTACATGACACTGAATCAATTAGACCCTCAATCTGGCTTTTCACGGAACAAGTGAACACTTTCAAGCATTTTGACATCTCCTGCTCAACTGCTCAGGGGGTGCCAGACCAGGGTTGGTCTTGAAGCCAGTTCTAGGTGCACTGTAGGATACGTTTGGATGAAGGGAAAGGATGTTCCCGATGATAATGCATCAACTTTCTAAGCTAGCAGATTCTCCTGTTTCTCATGCTGAAGCATTGCAAGGCCTTGAAACTCTGGAACCCTTGGGTGGCCTCCAACCTAAGAGCAATGGCCTCCAACCTAAGAGCGGTTGGCCGTCCTGGCAACTTTTCGCCTGGAACGCAACTTTTCGGAATTGGAATGCTGTGACTCGGCCCTGCAGGCCCTGCAACGCATACTCTCCAGCCCTGTTTATAAACTGGATTGAGAATACTTATGTGGCGTTGATCCAAGCAACCGGATAAGTAAGCCTCACGCGTTCTCCTACTAAACATGGGGTCAATGCCGGTGTAAAATGAATGTTATCAAATTGGTGTTGTTGAATGCACATGGAGCCTGTTCCTTTATGCATTTCAGTCGTTGTCATTTATATACATAATTTGCTGCTTTGGGAGGCGACGAGCAGCACCACAGCCCCTGATTTAAAGCGATGGCTGCACGATCATGCGCAACCGCCGCCAGCGGTTCCTTGATGGAGAGATGGGATGATGCTTCAACACTTGGACTTTTCTTTTTAGTTTTTGGTTCTTGTGTCCTAGCCTTGAATCTGTTCAGATCACGCAATGTAGAAGAGAATCATCGTACTGGTAGGCTTGGAGCCTGCAGGACACGTAGTCCCTTCTGAGAGCCACTGAGGTCGGGATGGGACAAAGCATCGCCCTGAACGTCGCGACTCTGGCTGCAGGCGGCAATCTTGTCTAGTGCAAGTTAGCATTATACAGTTTAGGAGGGTAGGAGGTAGAGCCTGTTGAGCTGAGGAAACGCAAAGACCTTTTTGGGATAAGAAATCTTTTTCCTGGGTTGTGTGAAGGTCTACTGATCTTCGAGCTGAAGCGGGAGTGGAACAAGAACCCAAGGTGGGGATCTTCAATCGATCGACAGAGCACCTTTTGGATACTTTCTGGTGCGGATGTAAAGTAGCTGTTCGCCCGGGACTCATCGTTTGCGCCGAGACTTCGAGGGTCAATTCCCCTGTAAATCGCCAGGCCAAAGGGCCCTTGGGTCGCTTTGGCATCCGGTTTTGGCGATCGGATCAAGAAGATATTATCTGTTTTCTACGATGCCTTGACAGTAGACATACACAAGCTAACTGAATTTGGATGCTTTGCGGTTCAACAGTGATCAAGTTGTCAGCAATTCCATGCGAATCACATTGAATGACGAACAGCGCAAGGCGAACTAGATCCTGAACCCCAACCCCCAAATTATTGATCCCCCATTGGCCCATAGTGACGGGGGGCGTGGTACTAGTAACTGAACCCTTGGCAAACCTCTCTTGCTTTGCATTCCGAGACGATGTCTCGTTGAGATTGTAAACTCTCTGGTGGAAGGGTCCGATCTCTGTCTTTCCTTTATTTTGAGGCCTCCCTCAACGAGCGAAAATGCCGTCCGCCCTGCGCCCCGTCACGACCCCAACGAGCGACGGTGCGCGACCCGACTGCGAGGAGGAAGTCCACGAGCTTCAGCTCTGAAAGGTGCAGGGTGCGAGGGGAGGAGGGTTGGACCCCTTTGGGTATGAATTTGTTGGTGAACGCCCGTAGAGAAGAGTCAACAGGTGAATCTTTTTCCATCAAGCTGTTTACTGTTGACTGGAAATGGACGTCTCTAGTCGTTTTGTCCTGGCTATTGTTCTCTTCAAAGATAAGTGCAAGAGGATGTGGTCAGATTTGGAGTAGATGAAGCGAAACAACTTGCAAATACAGTTGATGGAGGAAGGTCCTGAGATTTTCTGGAGAAGGACGCTCCCTGGGAGTTCTGACGAAATTGATCCTCATCATCATCGTTTTTGCTCCCACCCATCTCCCCACTCCTCCCAGAGCCCCTGGAGTTGGCAAGGCTCCTCTGCAACGATCGGAGTGTCTTTGAGTTTGGCCCAGGGCTCCGTCCTCGGAGACATGCCGACGGCGTCGGTGCTTTTAGGTGACGCCTCGTCGGTGCTTTGATCATGTCAAGCCGTTACACAAGGGACATAAACTCCTCAACTGTCGAGGCTTTATTGTTTAGCCACTTTCGAGGCTGCAATTTGCTTTTCTTCTTGGCAATGATTCGTCTGGGGGATTCATCCGCCCTCCAAGGTATCACACGACAGCGGCTCGGCAATTGGAACACATGTAATTTTTAGCAACTGCATGATGGTATCCTTGCTCCTAGTAGCGATGCCCTTTGTTCCGTTCGTAGCATCTTGTTACTAGAAGTCAGGCCAGGAGCTAGTAGCGTCTTTAGCCACTGCATGATGGCCAAAGCGGTTCACTTCAAGCAGGTCAGCAACTTCCTTCTTCTCACAATCAGAGCTTTCCTTGCCATTCGCCAAACAAGGCATCTAACAGTCGGTGTTTGAATCCTTTCAGGTGACCAGGAGCCTTCCCGTCTTCTCAAAGCTACTTGACCCCAGGCCTTGAACTACTTGATATTCCTCCGGGTGGCTGCGGAGCTGCTTGGAAGCGTGAGGAAGAAGGAGAGGCTGAAGGGACTGGTTTCATCAGGTATGCAATCAGGCATATACAATCGTATACAGGGTTGAAGGGTTCTACTACGGTTCTACTATCTTTGTTGTAAATCAACTAGCTGTTCATCATCCCCCGACCCACCCGAGTTTGAGTTCTCTGCAAGCGGCCATTGGTCTGGGGACCTTTGTTCCAGTCTTTGCTTCTAGCAGCTGCTGGCAGATGCAGCACTCTGCAGACTGTACACCTCCTTCCCCTTGTCGTGAGGGTCGGGCCCTCCAGCCATATCGTACGGTCTATGCTTCCGGGTATAGGATGGTGCAAACGGTCTTCAAGCACGTCGCAGCTTTTGGCCACACGAATCGTACACGGAAGATGTGGAATGGGACAGATTTTGGTGACTGGTTACGGTCAACTGTTCCTGAAGAAGTGCTGCGAGAATGCAGCATGTGTGGTGTGTGTGGATTTGTGGACGGGGGGGTCGAATTAGTAACAAGAAGCTACTAGGAACAAGTGCATCGCTTCTAGTAACAAGTGCCTTACTACTAGGAACAAGAAGCTATTAGTAACAAGAAGCTACTACTAGGAAAAGAGTTGGTTCCCTTAATGTCCCTTGTATCTCTTCTTTTCGCTGGTGACCGACCGAAAGGGGAAGAGACGTGGTCCTTCCAAGTCGTCGAGGTTATGCACGGTGCTCACCGTGGTCTCCGCCGTTGTGGTTGTTCCCTATTGGGGAGCCCGGAGCTTGACTGGCTTTCAGGGTCGTATGATGTCGTATGTAACATGAAACCACGTAACTTGCAAGACTTCTCAGAGCGCACCACGTCACCACGCAATGGTTTTACTATGTTTTACTGGAGCTTGAAGCTTCTGGCATGAGACACGTTTGAGCATTCTTCTTATCCTGGACATCAGTTTAAAAGTCTTCCTTTGGACTCCGTCTCCAACTTAAAGCCTTCCCTTTAAAGCTAGGCAGAGAAAAGAAGGCTTTCAGGCTTTCGTTCAACAGTTTGGCGGTATTTCAGTGCCAAGAAAGCTTTGCATGTTCGCTGCGTTCGGGTCGCTTCGCATGCTTCGAGGTGCAACCCTTCTTGTTGGGTGGCTTGGTGGGTCGTATCTCCTTGGCGGAGGCAGGGACCTCCCAATGGAGCCCTCACGTATGCCCTCATAGTGGATGTAATTAATGAAAAAGCTTTGCATAGCTTGAGCCCTGAATCCCTTTTGGAGGAGATTTGACCTTTAATTTCGTATGAGGTTCTGACATTTTGATTGTTTTGATTTTGTTCTTGGCCTCTCCCCGCTCAAGTGACTTAAAGTCACTCGACATGGCCCAGGACATAGATGCCAATGGTATTTGCCTGCTGGGTTCGCGGCCCCAAACCGGGGTTGACTTGGTGGAGATCAATCTGGGTTTGGAAGGATATCTGAGATCGAGAAATCAGGAAATAACAAGTCAACACTACACTTCAGAGCATTGCATCGAATATCTGCTCAGCTGAAGACACTGAAGAGGGCATCAACGCATGAATCTCCTTGCGGAGTAGGTGGCTGTGTTCAGTCGGGTAGTAGATCTACAGATCTTTTTTCATGAAAAACACTGCTGAGGCTACGGGTTCCAACTGCATTTCCGACGCTACTGTACTCCGCTTCAGACAGCTTATTATTTTGATATTTGGATCTGTCGTAGACGTATAGCACATATCCTCCAAACATGAAAGACAAAACTTGAGAAGATAACTTGAATGAAGCGCAATTGACCTGTTATTGATGCCAATGAAGGGAACATCAATGAATTTCTCAGTGCTTTGGGGATCTTCGGTGCTTCTGGTGCTTTGCTAGGTGCGGTGGCCTTCTTCTTTGGCGTGCTGGTCTTGGTCTTCGCGCAGCGTATGAAGCGGCACATGAGGATCCGTGGTGCAATGCACCCCAAGCGCCCCGGCGGATGCTGCGGGCCCTGGAGCTGGGATTGTGGGACGGAGACACGGGTCTATGCTTCTTGCCGTCGCTGAGCGTGCCGTGGGGTGTCAGAACGGCAATAGAAACAATGTGCAAATGGCATGCCAGGGAGGCACATTTTCCGTCCAGTTGAGCCTGTTGAGGCTGAAGAATACCAATAAATAGAGATACCCGGGGATGGAGACTTAGTTGGATATGCTATCCCACTGTTCCACTGCATGACGCTTCGATACTGAGGTACAGCAGTTGCTTGGATCGCACCTTGTGGCTGTCTCACTTGCCCGTGGGGGACAACTTGACCGGCAAGTACTTCAAACTCAGCGAGGAGGCAAAAAACAAGTCGATTCGAGCGCCACGCATCAATCGCAGCTGCTTTTGGATCCCTTCGATGTCTCTTCAGTCCGAAAGTGTCGGATCGATCAACAGACCAGAAGAGGGCCTGGGCCCGGTGGGAGCCTTTGCCGAGCCAGGACTTTGCACGCGTGGAAGAGAACTTGAAACGTGCAATCGAGGAGACTCAAACGTGTTCAGTGCCAAGTTAATTGCAATCCCATTCGAGGGTTTTTGGATGTTTTTTGGGGAGCATAGGTTCTATTCTATTCCCGACAATATTTGCATTGTTGGTGACCAAAAATTCCATATGCACGACAAGAACTAGTGTCTTCTTCCGACCAAACCCTATGTTCAAATCCAACAACATCCAACAACCTCCTTCCAGGAGCCAACTAAAGTTGGCAAGAGAGAGGCTGTGATTCCTTTTGTATCCCAGCTTAGAACATTGGACTATTTGTGGAGCACCACCAGCTGTTTTAAGTTTCACTTGGACAGGCAGTGCAAACCATGTCAAACAGCTCTTGTAGGTCCATGTGGCACATGCGTCACATACGAGAGAAAGAGTCATATATGTGTATATATTGTTTCTACTAGTAAGGCACTTGTTTCTAATTTAATAGCTTCTTGTTTCTACTAGTAAGGCACCTGTTACTACTAGCGATGCACCTGTTACTAGTAATCTTCAAAGCGTTCCTGCTCCCAGATATCCCAACAAGTTGTCGCATTGAACGCCCGACTTCGGCTATGTATTCTTTGTTTCTTCGGGCTTTGTTTTGTCAGAGTTGACTGTAGAGGGTGCGTGGCGTTTATACATGTGCTTGCCATTCATCCGCCCATTTCCAGCTGGTTTGAACTTTGTTCATGTATTTGTCCAAAGTTGTAATTATTTGCTATTCTACTGCATCGATGTTGAAATGGTGGGAGTTGCAAACAATTCATTGTTTCAGTGTAGAGTTCACAACCAGAGATGACCATTTGCCCAAACATGTTTTTGAATTGACTCCATAGACAACAGAAGGGCAATGTTTGTTTGAAGTGCAGTGATAATGGAGTGGAAAAGGTTTTGGGCAAAGGGCTGCCTGTAGCGTCATCTCAGAGTACATGAGGGAATGAAGCATCGGAACCTCCTGCGGTTGTGATCATCCCAATAGCAACTGAAGCTTTCACGGCCAGGAGCATGTGAAGCAGAAGGTCAAGCAAGAGCCATCGATCATTCCCAGTGACCTGGACAGAATGTTTTTAGCACTCTTGCTTTTATTTTGGTTGGTTTTGTGAAGAACGCTGGACCTTAGTGTTCTGATAGATGTTGTGGCTGTTGTGGGTTGGGTTCTGAGCCTTTGCATATTGTGGTATGGATGGTCCACACCTTTCTACACTGCTTTGCCGAGTTCTTCGCGTGCACGTCGCATTCGTTGTGGATGACTACTATGCATTGGACACCAAGCACCAGGAGGAGGAAGACAGGCTAGGCAGTTCATGGGAAATCTTTCGGTCTGCAGCAGGATGGTCTTCTTAAAAATTCTTTAAGCAGATTGCTCTCGTAGGCTTAAAACTCGCATGGAACACTTGGCCATGCTTCAGTGGAAGGACTGATCAATTTTGCAATCACACAATTTGTTTTGCCACTGTGTTTCTTTTGTTCTCCTGCTTTACACACCTTCTGGTAGCACAGACTTTTCTTGTGAGCTTCAGGACTACTCTGTGCGGAGCTTCAGCTGTGCCAGGTTCTTCGGTCGTGTTTGGATTGCATGGGTTTCTCAATCATCGTACTACATGCCTTGCAGAATTGACGGAAACAGGGTCTTCCTTCTCAGACCGGCCAGGCCCTGGAAGGACCTGCAGATCTGGTGGATCAGTCGACAAGCTCAGAAACTTCAAGTGAAGGCTCGATCTGGGTGTCGAAGTTTCGGGTTTCAATCAAAGATGGGAGCGCCCTCAAAAAGAGCCCAAAAGACGATGTTGGGAAGCTGATCCTTTGGCCTTTGCTGAAGGATGGAGTCTCCTTGAGGAACTTCACTTGGCTGTTTGAATGATCAGGTTAGCTCACAACTCACAACGTCTGAATATCGAGGAGTTCCTTCCTTTGATGACTGTTGGTGAAGTGAATGTGAACCCACAACACCCGGAGACCTGCACGAGGCTCGGTTCAGTCACCGTTGGCTTTGTCGGACGCTTCGCCCGCAGCGGACTCGGACTCGTCTGACGGGTCCGAGGGTTCGGTCTCCAACCCCTTCCGGTTCGGTCTCCGGTGAGGTGAATTCTTTGCGACTGGATCTGGAGAGAAAGGGGAAGCAGCAAAAGAGGATGAGTGGTAGTGCCTTTGTCACTTTCAAGGACTCGCTCTTGTTTCAAGGTGTCCCAGGCACTTCTTCGGCCCAGGCACTTCCTTCTACCCTCTCGTCATTTTCCTTTCCAGCCTCCGTTTCCTCGTTTATTTTGTTTTGCCGCCATACATATATATATATATATATATACACACATTTCTTTGGAATCTTCCGAGCACGTAGCCAAAATGACCAGATATGAGGCAATTCTTCATGAATGTAACATAACCATTGCTTGAAAGATGTGGTTTAAAGACCAAAGTTGACTCTCCGTCCGTGAACAACTAACTCTTTCCTTCTTGATTTCACCTCGCTTTGTCTAATCTATGCTTTCAACGCTTTGCAGGTTTAAAATTTATTCTCCCTTGGCTTTATAGCGCTGCAACCGTAGCCTGTGGGTTCTTGTGTTTCGCTTTCGACTTTCCTTTTTGCTTTTTGCGACTGTCGTGTTCTTCATTCTTCCTGCTTACTTGCCCTTTCAATTTGGTACTCAGACAAGTTTCTATTTCAAACCTGATCAATCAGTTGACAACACATGCGAGACAAGGCTTGAGATGAAGTTGTGCCGAAGTGTTAGGAATATACAAATGGAATATTTAGTTTGGACTGAAGCTGTCAGGAGCGGAGATTCAAGGATGTCCTGCTTGAAGATTTACCCAGCTGCTGGAAGAGCCTCGGAGAGTTGCTGGGTGAAGCCTGCATGAGTCCGTGCGTCAGTTGACACGAGAGTTGCTGCACTGAGCCGTTTGCTGAGGATCCAAAACTACGCTCATTTTAACTTCGGCCAGCCACCCTTTTCCTCGGTGACCTTGAGGTGCCGATAGGGTTCAGTTTATAACTTTGTAACTTTGTAGCTTTTAAAGGTCCTCCGTGGTTTACATGTTACCATGTCGAACTTGCTAGTTTTTGTTTCTTTACAGTATATACTTTGCGCAAGTAGTAGAGAACTTGAGATTCTTTTGGTGCATGGTATGGATCCTGTATGGCTACCTTTGAACAAAGTCGCTGTCCAACTTTCGATACATTCCAGGGTTGCAAGGAGACCTCACACTTCGCCAGTCAAGGGGAACCATTCAAAAGCTTGACGTTGTAGGTGCCAGCGAGCTCCACATCCTGCAGATATTTTGTGGGAAAACTTGCACATCCCCTACCGGCAAAGGAGCACTGCTTGAGCAAAAGCACTTAAACATTGCAAGATGAAAGACGTGCTGGTGTTTGTTCGCGAAGTCCACGTTGCGGATTCCGGAACTCGTTGAACAACATTGGGAGGGGTGCGAAACTGATTGCTTGTGAGGAGGTTGTTGCCTTCGGGTGCTAGAAAGTTGCAGAAGTCTATAGACATCATGCAAATGTTCTAAATCAATCCCGTTTAGGAGGCTTGTAAAAATATAGTGGTGTTTGTGCCAATCCGTGACCAGGATCTTGCGCTTTGGAGGTGGATCGCTACTGCTGCTGATCTTCATGCTCGTGCTGGTGACACCAGTCTCTGTGAGCTCCGAGCTCAACACCATCATCCCGGAGACACCGTTGGAGGGTTCCCATCAATGCGGAAATAGTGCAAGTTTTGGTGGTGGAAGTCGGTCGCAAATGGACCTTTTCAATCAGCGGATTGGACCATTTTCTGAGCAATGGCGCGTCTCAATGATCGTTAAGCTTATATAGCTGCTTGAGCTGTTTTGAAATACCTTGATTGATAGGAGTTGAGACGAGGCTCCCATGAGATCAGGAATAAGGCGCACCTCCGAAACTGCTCCGACAGGGCGGATGTCCGAGACTGTCGGTGATTTGGATGCGCTGCGGAGTCAGAAGTTGGAGTTCCTGCATAGACGAACCGTGAAAGTGCAGTGTAGGTTACTTGATATGAAACCTGTCAAAGATATGAAACCTGTGCACCCCACTTCTCACTGTCCAAGACAGCATCGTCCGCAACCAATACGACGGAACGCGGTGCAGGTCGAGCAAATCCTGGGCGTCAGCATCCCTGACACTCGGTTGAAAGCCACACTTCTAGCGAGCAAGAGAACTTTTATGCTAGCAGGGTGCCACATTGACTACTTGGATTCATGCATGCCACCGACAATACACAACATCTGTGAAAACGAGGGTGTTTCCATGGTCATGACATGACCCCTTCATGTGCAGACATGGCGTCTTTTCCCATCACCATGTCTTGCCAGGCATGTCACTCGGTTCCGCCATGAATGCATGGCTCAAGCGACGCACTCGCGCGCCTGAAAAGGTGTGCGTTCCCCTGGCTGCTGTCAGTTTTGAGACTGGCAGCGGAGCTGGGTCGATCCCGGCAACGCTTTTCCACTCCGTTCGCCAAGGACGCCATGGCAGCGTTCTTGGAGGCGCTGCGCTACGATGCAGCCGCCGCAGCAGCTTCCACCAGCGTGGTGGCCGATGACCAAACAGAGTCCAAGTTTGGCATCCCTCGCTTCAGCGGGGAACCCAGCGCCCTCAACGAGTACGCCTACCGCGTACGAGCTCGAGTACAAAGAGAGTCCCACATGGATGCAGGTGAGGTCAAGAAACTCGGGCCGCTGGGGCTCAGGCTAGTTGAGGGACTCCGAGGCACCGCCCTGAAGATGGCTCAGCAGATCGAGCCATCCAAACTGGCGACATCTGAGGCTCCTGAGTTCCTGATCACCCTCTTCGAGAAGAGCCTCAGGCCACGCCGTGAACAGGAGGCCAGAGAGCTCTACGCCATCGGCTCCAGAGATGGCGGCATGATGTCCCGGCAGCATGGAGAGCCGGTCTCAAGCTATGTGCTCCGGCGCAAAACATGGTGGCGCCAACTCCAACAGCTCGATCCGAGCATGGCGGTGAGTGAAGGGATCTTAGCAGAGCAGATCCTTCAGAACGCAGGTCTCAGTGAAGACCAGAAGCTGATGATCCGCACCACCCTACGAGGGAAGATGGAAGTCGAGCTCGTGGCTGACGAGCTGCTGAACCAACATCCTCGACTACATGAACGTGAGCGACTTCCACGACGGCATCCCGGCAGCTTCAAAGGATCATGGAGATCCAAAGGAAAAGGCTTCAGTCACAAGGCCTTCCACGTTGATGAAGAGATCTATGAAGAGTCCCCTGACTGGGAGACGGCATCCCAGTCCTTGGCAGGCTTCACCGAGGTCTTTGAGGACGACAATGAGAACACCACCTACCTCGGCTATGAGGACCCTGAGGGCAATGACCTCTTGGCGGAATGGGCCGCCTACTTCATCGACGAAGGCCTGGACATGCAGAATGAAGAAGCCTGTGCACTGGCAGCTGAGGCCATCCAACTGGAGAATGAGGCTTACTTCGTTCGAGGTCAAGCCAAAGGCAAGGGCCACAGTGGCTTCAGCGGGTCCAGACAGTTTGAAGTCTCTGGCTCGCTTTCCTTGCAAGAGAAGCGTGCTCGCTTACAGCAGCTCAAGAGCAAAACCGAGTGCCGCAAGTGTGGACAAAGAGGACATTGGTCTGGCGACCCACAATGTCCCAAGGGCACCGGCAAGGGCGACAGCAAGTCCAAAAAGAGCTTCTCATCCTCGATTACGGCTTCATCCGGCAAGCATGGCAAGAAGGGTTCAAAAGGTGGCGGAACTCCAAAGACCAGAGTGGTCTATTTTGCCATGCATGATGGACCTCAGGACTACGAGATTGTGAACGAAGACACATGCCTCATGGCGGTCTCAGGCGGCGCTGGCTCTGGCTCTGAACCTCCTTCAGAAGTGCCTACATCACGGACACCGTCTATGCAGTCGACAGCACCTGCAGGTGGGCCTTCCCCCTCAAGTTTGAGTACCATGTTTGCTATGATGCCACAGCCCACTGCAGCATCTATGCAAGCCACTATGGCAACTCAGGAATTGGTGCAGTCACTGTATCAACGAGGCTGGACAGCTGATCAGGTCCTAGACTTCATGCTCCACAACCCCGAGGACCTCTGTGTGATGTCACCTGAAGGCATCCAAATGGCAGGACAAGCTCCACGTCAGACCGGCCCTATGCATCCTCAGGCCGGCTATGGACAGCTTGACACTCCGACAAGAAATCCACCGCCCACGGCAATGCCACTTCATGTACCACCAACTCTCGTGGGCCAAGTCCTCAGCGCTTTGATGGACATGGAGGTTGAAGAAGAATCCCCTCCAGGAGAACCAGCTCCAGGTTCGGCAAGTACCAATGTCACTTCCTCAGCACCGGCAACGCCTCAACAGGAAAGCATGCTCTCACATCCGGGTCACCAAGAAGGGCAGCAATGGATACTACCTCAAGGAGACATGTCTCGACTGTGGTCTCTTGCTTAAGAATGAGAAGAAGATGATCGTTGGCAAGAACGCCCAACCTGTTGAGGGAGCTCCAGGCTTCACCAATGTCCCGTGCAATCACAACAGGTGCACGTGGAGAGGATCCAATGGAATCAACTGGCAAAACACTTGCCTTGACTGCGGCAAGGTCACTCGTGGTGCATGGTCAGACCAACATGTACCCAAGCCACCTCATCTCCGTGTCAATGAGGAGACCTTCCTTCGTGGCGCCATTGGACAGCCTGTCCATGACAACAAGCAGTTCGATTCCAAGTCGGTTCATGAGCTGCTTCGCTCTTCACTCATGATCGCCACCATCAAGATGAAGGAGAACAATGGAATCCTCAGCCTGGAAGATATCCACAGGATCATCGATGCGGTGTCAGTGAACTTGGACACTCTCAGCTCAGAGTACACCGGCATGCCAACTATGCCCACCAGGTCAACAGCCCAAGTGCCATCGACACCAAAGGCACCACCACCGAGGGATCAGTCTGATGTGCTCTACTTCCACGGCGCCAAGACCATCACCTTCGGCAAGCACAAAGGGCATCCATTTTGGTATGCTTGGCAGGATGAAAACTATGTTGATTGGGTCCTGAACAACGTTGATGAGGGCTCCAGTCGCGGCATGAAAGACCTGGCTCACTACTTCCGTGAGAAGAAAGCCGCTCAGGGTGAACCATGCACTCCACCACGAACACCACCGAGGGCACCTTCCTCCTACCATGGATCACCAGCAGCCTACATGGCCTATGATGATGATGAACCAGGACTACACGATCATGAAGACCATGACCTACCAGGACTACATGATGAACCACAAGAGCCAGCGCGAGAATCTCACTTGCTCGCAATCCTGGACTCCGGATGCAACCGGACTTGTCATGGTGATCGATGGATGCAACGGTATCAACAAGCCATTGGTCCTGATGCCCCACTATGTGAACTCCGACAGTCCACTTCCAGCGTCAAGGGCATCAATGGGCAGGTCAATACCTCTGGCACACGGCGACTTGAAGTGTGCTTTCAACTTGAATCCCAAGAGGACAGCTTTGCCGTTGGCACCATCGACAGCACGGAATTGTGCAACAGCGACGCACCACTGCTTCTATCCATCAAGGACCAACGCCGACTTCAGCTGCAGGTCAACCTTGGTGATGAGAACACGCCCGACAGGGTCTACAGCCGATTGCTTGGTGGCTACCTCAAGGTCACGATCTCAATGGTCTTCTTGGATTGCACCTGCTGCCTTCTCAGATTGCGATGCTTGGCATGCACTCCAGTCAGGAGCAAATGGTGACGGACACTGATGTCGAGACCGACTATGGGTCTGAAGATCACCGACTTCATCCACTTCTACCAACAGTGAGGTGCATCTCCGACTTGATGAAGAACAACCGAAGACCTTGACCAAGAATCAGAAGCGGCAGCTCGAAGAAGAACTCAATGAACTTGGTGAGCAAGACCAAGCAATGTGGTCTCAACTTCAGTCCACTCCTCGACGTGGACGTCGCTCTGGTGTTTGCCTTCCACGTGGCTGCAAGGTCTTCCTTCTTGAGATCTTTGCAGGAGCAGCCATGCTGAGCTCTATCGCTGCCAATCAAGGACTACCCGTCGCAGCGCCAGTGGACATCACACTGGATGGCAGTGATCTCTTGAAGGCGTCTGTACGCCAAGAGCTGGACCATGAGATTGACCGCCTTGATCCCTATGTCATCACCTTCAGCCCCGTCTGTGGACCCTGGGGACCATGGTCAAAGCTCAACATGTCAAAGAATGAGGTCGCCAGACAGAAGATCCTTCGAGACCGGGACGGCTGGTTTCCCTTCACCAAATGGCTCCGAGGCCCAGTTCGACGTCGGCTAGCCAAAGGCCGAAAGGTGCTGATCGAAAATCCCTGGACCAGCGAATTCTGGGATAGCTTCCACATGAAGAAGTTGATGGAAGAGCACCTCTATGACAGTGAAAGTCTCCAGCAGCTCGAACTTGTACGTTGTGATCAATGCATGTTTGGCCTCCGGGACCATTTCAATGGCGAGCTGCACTACAAGCCCACTGGATTCCTGACGGCAAGTCAAGAAGTCAAGGAATACCTCAATGTCCGCTGTGATCGAAGTCACCAACACCAACACCTTGAAGGCGGACAGCGTACCAAACGTGCGCAAGAATGGCCAACTCAGCTCTGCCACGCCATGCTTGATGGCTTCATCGCTGAACTGGAGCACCGGAACCTCAGTGCAGCCTTCCACCTGGAAAGTGTTGATGAAGGTCGAATGGAAGAAGACCTACACCTTGGAGTCCTGGACACCATCCAAGATGAACGTGATCTAGCACCTCAACAAGATCTACTGCCAGATCACCTGAGTCCTGATGAACTCCAACGCCAAGAACAACTGGAAGAGTCACCCCTGGCAGCTGACCAGGAGATGGAACTTGAATGTGACCGTCGTCACAAGTGGCTCAAACTACCTCGACCTACCAGGCTGGCACTCCGAAGATTGCGCACAATGACCGGACACAGTTCACCTGCAAGCATGGTTCAACTGCTCCGTACTGCCAATGCCTCTCCGGCAGTGATCGAAGGACGTCGATCCTTTGCCTGTGAAGCTTGTCGCAAGCGACAGCCCTTGGAGCGCCCCAATGTCACCAAGATGCCCAACCGCTACACCTCAACCACGAGGTGAGTTTGGACTGCCTTGAAGTTAAGGACAAGGCTGGCAACAGGCACACCATCCTCCCAGCGGTTGACATCGGCGCCCTCTACCATCAATGCTGGTGGGTTGCTGGAGGTGGAGTGCCCAAGAGCAGCGTTTGTGCTGAAGCTTTCATTGCTGGATGGATTGCACCATTTGGACCACCTCAATCCGTTGTTTGTGACAAGGGCATGCGCAACCAGGGCAGAATGCGAGACATGCTTCGCATCCATGGCATCTCCATCCGCTACACCGGGTTGGAAGCTCCATACCAACTTGGGCGAGGAGAACGCCAAGGTGGCATTTTCAAAGAACTGATGTATGCGGCTATGGAGGAACGCAACATCATTGGCACCAACAACATCAAAACCCTCATCTCCGAGACGTGTGGAGTGAAGAACATGAGGGTGAACCACCAAGGCTTCACACCATATCAATGGGTGCTTGGCAAACTGCCTGTTGATGAGACGTCCCTGACAAGCGAAGAAGCAGAAGGGCGATTCCTTCCCGTCCAGGAGAAGATCGAAGAATCTGAAGACACTTTTGCCCTCCGTCTTCAAATCAGGCAGGCAGCCAAGATGGCCTTCAGCAAGGTGGACTCCAGCCGAAGAATCAGGTCAGCTCTCTTGAGAAAGAGTACGCCCATTCGCACCAACTATGTTCCAGGCAAAGGGTCATTGGCCGTGAAGGCAGGGCAACTCTATGGCTGATCCATGCTGGAGTACCAGTTGTTGCTTCGGAAACCTCATTGCGCCCAGCTTCCAGCACCGAGATCTACACGAAACGACTTTTGGAACTACGTCCACCCAGGAAGCGCATGAGGGAAGCAATTCATGAAGAAGAACGTGGCCGTGAAAACATCCCCTTCTCTGATGACTACAGGCTTTGCAATTGGGGAGAAAGCCAACCAGGATACATTGAAGTTCCTGGAGGACAAGGGCCACCTGATGATGATGAAGAAACTCCACAGGAGGAGTACACACCCTCTGAGCCGCCAGATCACATGCCTGTGATCCATGAAGAAGAAGAAACTCCTCCGCTACCAGAAGACACACCTCCGCTACCACAAGCAGAGCAAGCAATGCCAGAACGGCAAACCACGGAACCAGAGATCGAGATGATCCCATCGACCGTGCCCAATACACCGGTGCAAGCAGCCACAGCAGCACCAACACCACTGCAGCAAGCAATGTATCGAAACCTCGATACTCTGGATGGTCATCCACAGACCATCAGGCCACCGCCAGGCCTTTCCAGACAGGAGCGATCCCGCTCACCTGTCAGAGAAGCGCGTAACGTCCCTGCACCAAGAAGCTCAGAAGACGGCCTCTTTGCACTTGGCCGCATGAAGCAAGAAGAAGAATGGCATCTCCACTGCATGTTGGCCAAGCGCTTCAACAAGAAGAAGCGCCAAGTGGGTGCAGGAGCTGAGATCAACTATGACAAGGCCTCTCCTGAAGTGAAGAAAGCCCTGGACAGCACCCGTGGCAAAGAATGGAACAACTGGAAGCAGTTTGATGCTGTCTTTGTGGTCCCTCCTGATGAGAAGGAGAAGTTCCTGTCCGACCACCCAGAGGCTGTGATTCTGCCGACCTGTTGGGTTGATGTGAACAAGGCAGAACAACATGAAGAACCTCGCTGGAAGAGCAGATTGGTCGGTGATCTTGAGAAGAACAATGACCTCCGCACTGATTCGCCCACGACATCACAGCTGATCCTCCAGATGATCATCAGCTTAGCGGCAGCCACTGGCACAAGACTCCGGGCTGGAGACATCAGTGCCGCTTTTCTCCAAGGCACTGGCGTCGCACGTGTCCTGGCTATGTCGCTACCCAAGGGAGGCACCCCAGACCCAGATGTTCAACCTGGGAGTCTGCTGATCGCCATGGCGCCAGAGATGCTCCAAGAGGATTTTGGAAAGCCCTTCATGACACCCTGCTCCGCAATGGCCTAAAGCCCATCTCACTTGAGACCTCCGCCTACTACCTCCCAGGCGAACAAGGACAAGTTGCAGGGCTCTTGGGCTGTCACGTTGATGATTTGCTGTGGGCCGGATCAGAGGCCATGCAGAAGACGATGGAAGCAGTCCAAGCTGAGTTCAAGTTTGGCCGATGAGTTGAAGTACTGCGGACGCATCATCCGCCAAGGGAAAGATGGCATCACCATCACCTGTCCCAGCGTCCTGGATCGGACCAAGCCGATCTTCCTCAATCCACAGAGGCGCAAGCAGCTTGGAGAGATGGCAACACCGGCTGAGATCAGCCAGCTGCGATCAGTTGTGGGCAGCTTAAGTTGGCTCGCTCGAGTCTGCCGACCGGACCTGAGTTTCCAGGTCAACCAACTTCAAGCCCGACAACAAGCAGCTCAAGTCAAGCATCTCATCGATGCCAATAAGCTCCTCCATCATGCACTACAAGACCGTGACAAGGGCATCTTCTATGCCAAGGGAGCTATGAAGTTTGAGAGCGCCATCATCCTCAGCATCAACGATGCATCGCACGCAGCAAGCGTGGAGGCCATCGGAGAAGGAGTTGTGGCGGGACACCGATCCCAGTCTGGACGCCTGCTAGCTCTGGCAGACCCTTCCTTCGCCACCACTGGAAAGGGCTCAGTCTATCTCCTTGAATGGCACTCCAACACCATCCGGCGTGTTTGCCGGAGTACCCTCCAGGCCGAGACGATGAGTCTTCAATTGGGCTCCGAAGAGTCAGAACATGTGCGGCAGATCCTCTATGAGATCAAGAATGAAGCCGCAGAGACGCCCAAGGCCGACCGGTGCACGAGGGCAATGGATTCCACCACAAGCCTGTGGCTCACTGATTGCCGCAGCTTGAGTGATCACCTGACCAACTGTTCAGGTGGAGAAGTCAGCGACAAGCGGTTGGCGATTGACCTTACCAGTCTCCGCCAAGGAAACCCCACCTACACCGACTCACTGCCTGCTGACGCCAGCACCGTGGTTCGCTGGATCTCGACCAAAACGATGGTCGCAGATGGCTTGACAAAAGCCATGAGAGCTGAGCAGCTGGATGATTTGATGAAGAATCAAAGCCCGAGTGCCACACCTGTAAAACAATACGGGTGTGAAAACGAGGGTGTTTCCATGGTCATGACATGACCCCTTCATGTGCAGACATGGCGTCTTTTCACTCGGTTCCGCCATGAATGCATGGCTCAAGCGACGCACTCGCGCGCCTGAAAAGGTGTGCGTTCCCCTGGCTGCTGTCAGTTTTGAGACATCCATGTTGAAAGGCCGTCAGGGATCGTCAGGGTATGGTCATTTATGTCATTTGGATTGGATTTCTTTGTGGCAAGTTGAAGGTCACTCTCAAGACCTGCTCTTGAAAACCTTTGCCGAGGAAAAGGGGGATGCGGTCTGGCAGTGGCTCTACCTGCAGTTGCCACCCATGGAACTTTGGCTCAACCCGGGGGATCACTTTGGGCGTGAGACTCACCATTGCACCGATAATCCGATAAACTTTGTAGGTTTTGGTCTCCACGGGGAAGAACCAAAGGGCCAGGGGCGAGGCCAAACAGATACAGTTGGAACCGGAACCTGATGATCTTGCTTGGAGCTTTGCCTGAACTGTAGAGGCATTGTTCGAATCTCGACACCTGAACACAGCTGTGTCACCTTGTGCAGCAGCTGGCTGGATTTTGCCTTGAAGTAAACCTGGAAGTGTGACTCGCCCATCCTTGCGAGAGACTTCCTCGCATACTTCCCCAATGCAGCAAGTCTTTCGGGAGTTGCGGCACGCAGCTGTGGCTGGGGTACAGGGTTTGTTGTCTGTTGCACGCAGCTGAGGTGATTCTCTTTATCAACTCCTTGGTGCTTCCCTACCTGATTGGCGAGATTTGCTGCTTGGCATTGAGAGTCCGTTGAAAAATTGCATTAATTATGTTATATTGCTGAAACAGTCACCAACCACCAGAACGTGGTGTCGGCCTCAGGTCACTTCCAGCGCAATCACACTTTATCGAAGGCCTGGCTGTTTTTCATGAAACACGTAAGCTTTCGATGCTGTCAATGGACCACCCGCTTTGCTTATGGGAACGGTCTCAGAGGCCTGCGCCTGCAAGGCAAAAGTCACAAGACACCAGTGACGAATGATTCCAAAGAAGAACGATGTCTAGGTTTGAAGGCTCCCCCCATTCTGAAGTGCTGCCCAGCTTTGTCATGAGGGCATGCAGGAAACAGGATTGCGACAAAATGCCTCCTGCAACGGTGAATTGTAGCACGTTGCAAGAGCAGCACCGTGAAGACCCATGCCACCAGGCAGAGCTGAACCAGATGAACATGAACTATGTCTTCATGGTCCCTTGCTGAAATGATCCATGCCGGCCCATGGTTCAGGGTCCCCCTAACCCGCGCGGGTTGACGTGGTGGGGATCGACATGCCACTGAGGTGATGAACCAATTGCTGATCCCCTTGTTGGGTTTGACTGGGATCCCTGCACTGCTGGAGTTCCTTGAAGTGAAGCTGCATGATGAGAAGGAGGCGAGACCAGTCAGGGGGGAGGGGGAGATCTGAGACCAAAACAACAGTCAATGGTGGCAAGGGAAGCACCTCTTTTTCTCCCAGCAGGCGGAAGTCACCAGAGCGGGAGTTCTTGTTCCCAGAAGATCTTTCGGGGCAAAAGTCGGAGATAAGTGTGATGTGGGTGAGAAGAAGAACCCCCTGGTATGCTCCAGTTCAATCAGTTTCACCGGTTTGATAGGACATCTCCATCCTGCAGCTACTCGATGGGAGCATGCTGAGATCTCCAGGGCTTTTCTACGTACCCTGGCCGCGGCTCCTGGAAACGCTAAGGAGATGGACACATAGAAGCCTTTGAGCGGTGGTCCGATTTAGAGGTCCTCGCTGCATTACAGCAGTTCACAGTGTAGTATGTGCAAGGTGCACAGTCTTTTCCCTCCCGAGGTTTGTGAATTACATAAAGAGATCATGGTCAAGTCAAGTCTGGATTTCATTGGGTATGATCAGTTCAAGAAACTGCAAGAAAGCATTAGATAGGGAGCTGGATGCATGACATTGTGTGAGTTTACCATTTGCTGCCAAGAGCTTGAGGTTCGCTATCTTTTGAACTGCACCTTCCTGACAAACACAAACAGCTTGTTGCACCTTGGCAGAGAGTCAGCTTGCTACTTGGCCTACCACGAAAGTTAGGTGCCTGCTTGGAAGAGATCGGATTTTCAGAGATTTATGCACAAAAGGTTGGGCGATCAAGGGGCCACCCACCAAGTGCTTGGTTGAATGGAACCTCTGAAGAGCTCTGCAGGAATCTGCCACAGCTCTTTGTACGCTGGCTCACGAGCACACCTGAACCATGGAACTTTGCATGGGGATACTGGCACCTTGGCTTAGCCTCAACGCAGCGTTGGTACCGCTGCCAACAGGTTTGCAAAAAGGAGAAATCATACGGAAGAAACAATACGGAAAACACATCACATCAGGAAACAACTCACGTAACAACTCAAAACAATCCAAGTTTTTGTGCCGAGTCTTTTCCACTTTTTTTCCGAGTACGGATACAGTATATAGTTATATATATATATATATATCATGCTGTTTTTTTCCTTTTTTTGCGAGCTATCATACTATACTCTTTTGTTGTGTCGACGTGTTGTTTCGACAACTTCCATGTTGTTTCGGTCCTCGCCTTGATGAGAGTTCTCCTACAATGGCCTGGAGTTTCATGCGTCTCTAATGCAATTGATATTGGCTTTTGATGGGTTGTCGCGGAGCACAGAAAGCTGTGCTCCATCACCTTCATGGTAGAAGCAGTTACTGTTGAACCATGTGATTCACACATGCTCAAGGTATGCCGCCACTTTAGGCATCCTGACCACAGCAACTTGGAAGATCAGTTGAAAACGCCGTGTTTCCTGTGACCTGAGACCTGCTTCCGAACCCACTTTTCCAGACTCGGAGATAAGCCAGATGACCTCGTTTTGTTATGCAACTTGAAAGCCTCTTGCAGTTTGAGCATTGGGAAGGCAGTTTCACTCGGTGTGCTGGTACCTTCTCTCTTGCCCATCGCAGCCCTATTCTTCGCTATGAAATACTGTTCCTCGTCGCCTGAGAGTCCAGCCATGATTTGTGTGTTCCATTGTGAGCTCAGAAAGAACACTAGCTAAAACTTGATCGTCTTGAGGATCTTTTGCAAGAAGATGTCTTATTATGTGTGAATAGTCTCACCTCTTGACAAAGAGGTGAAGTTAGCATGAAGAACATGTGTGATGCAACTGGCCAAAGGACCCCGGGCCCGGGCCCAGGTGTTGACTCTCACATCCTCAACACGAGAGCTTACCGTTGTGGGCCCGAGAGCCAGGCTGAGTTCGGTCGGGAGGGCTTGGGCGTTAAGACGCTTTGAGACGATGAGCGACTGAGCTTCTGCCCCTTTGGGCTGGGTAGCCTTAGCCTTTAATCAGTTGCCTCGGGGAAGCTTGGCTCCGAACCGAACCTGCTCCAGGGCCTTTTCCTCCCGCGAGTGCTTTTCATCATGCGTCGCTCCTCAGCACTATGTGCTGAGAACATGAAACAGGGCTGAAAGTGTCAAGGCAAGAGACAAACAAATTGGACTTGAAGCTGGATCAGTAACCATGTCCGCTAGGACCGGACCATCTCAAAAGCATTGGGCAGTGCCCTGAATTCTCACTCCAAGTTCAAAGATCTTCAAAGCACAGCCATCCCTAAGGTATGATCGCCGTGGGTTCCTGGCTTGTCGTGTTCAGCTCTCTGCATGTAACAGCGAAGACCTATTTCCAACATCGCTGGGATGCACGAGTGCCGTACGGACTGCTGCAGCAACATGGCAAATGAATCGGTGGTGTGGACTTGAGAGGCAGTGGTTAATGAGGTTTGCTCCTTGCTTTTTGAATCACTGACATACACTGACATACAGACATACCCCTTTTTTTGCCGACTGAGGGGAGCTTGCTGGTTGCTTGTGGCTTCTGCGATTTTCATGGCATTCTTCTTTTTCTGGGCCAAGGGCAATGATGTCCACAATGCCAAGTTCCAGTGCCTCGGAAGTTCGGCAGTGCCTTCCGAAGCTGCGGGGGTGTTCTTCAGCTTTAACCTGGCTAGATGTCCAGTGGTCGGTTCCATCAAGACCACAAGCTCCTCCCGCACGTGGTTGGGATTGTTGAATTGGGCTCAACATTCTTTATGACCATGTCCATGCCAACACGAAAGTCGAACCGATGACATGAGTCCCTACTTCATGGTCGGAAAGTGTTGGAAACCCCATTCTGTTCTTCAGTGACGAAGTCGGGACTCATCCGCTGAGGTTTCTTCGCTACTCAGTGGGCAAGAAGGACCTGGAGCGCAACCTGGTAGACAGGCAACTTGGCAGTGTGTGGGGTCGTTAGAGAGGTCAATGGATGCTTAGAAACATGAAACCCGAAGCTGAAAGACATGACACACCTTTTCTCAGCGCACAGAACTTTGCTTGCAGGCTTTTGTCCAACAGTGTGGATCTCTTACTACAGTTTGCTTTTTTGGGACATGTCTCAAGGACTCGAGCCCATGGAAGTGTTCCAATCAACTAAGTCAGATGCCTTCCAGCTTTTGGAGCAAATCTCTGTATTTGTTGGTCAAGAAGAGGTTCCGTCACGAACCGTTTTACGCTTTTTACGGGTTTTCAATGGTTTTCATTTTTCTGTCTTTAGGTGTTTCGACTCCATTTTTGGCAAGCTCCACCAAGCTGTCGACTCCGCCGCTCAGCTCCAGACGAGAGTTTTCGTCGTTTTTGGGGGGGCGTTTTTTGGTCAGAAGCTGGGTAAGAGGACTGGTCGAATGGTGAGACAATTGCAGCTCCATTGAAGGGTTTTGTATTTCTAGCACTTGAAAGAACTTGTATGATTTTGTTGTATGTACTTGTGCCTTTTCTTTCATAGCTTATAATATAGTGTCGAACATCAGCCAGTATGAGATGGTAGGAGTTATGTACTGTTAAGTTATATAAAGGATTAGAAGGAGAAGCTGTCCTTTCAGTCTGTCGAAGCAGAACAACAAACCTTCCACAGGCTACAGTGCATCCAAAGCGAAACTACAGTGAGGCGAGAGGGGACTCTTTTTGGTTCGGGTTGGACGAAAATGCTCCAGAATCTGTAGGGAAAAGCTGCCTGCACTAGCACTCCTTCAAATTGCATTCCTGCTGTTTCCAAAGTTAGTAGACAAGGCAATGCCGCATATAGGGAAGCATTTTTTCGCGCGAAACCGGCCTGTATCCCACAATGGGTTTTCATCAACTTTCCGACAGTGTCGCTCGATGGACACGCATGCGAACCCTGAGAATTCTATGAAAGCTGTGTTGAACCCTTTTGGCCACACAGCAGCTTCGCCAGGAGGCTGTTGTTTCCACCGTCTCTTTGAACTTCTCCCGGCGAGATTCGGCGGAGATGGAGGCACTTTCAAAGCTAGCGGTCTTTCTTAACGGATTTCCATGGAATTTTCTCTGGATAAGAATGTTTGGACGAAAGGGCATAAGCTTAGTCAAGATTTCTACTCATAGCGGTGGCGAATATCCTCCGGCATTGTAGTACTGCCACAATTGAACGCTGTACTGACAGGGAAAGGGGTGGCAAGCCACCCGAAACCATATACATCATATACTTTGAAACTGCTTCGAAGTTCCTCCTGAAACTTCTTTGCATGTTGCAGAGTGTGCACCGTGCATTCTCACTTTTTTTGGCGGCACGTGCGGTCTCTGAAACCGCCATCGTGCCAGGAGTGCCAATCAGATGAGGCAATGCTCCCGGCCTTGACGTCAGATCTGTTGCTCCGGATCTCTTGGCGCAGCCCAGGCGGATTTCCAGCTTCTTTGGGATTGTCGGAGGTGGCTCTCTGCATGGAAAGACTACGCTGCAGGCCGCGGTGGACCGGTGATTTGAATCAGCATACCAAAATCAGTGCATGTATATAAAGGGTTGAACCCTTTGGAGATACTCATTGACTCATTATGTGCAGATTGTTGATAGGTACTTGGGCCACAGCGCACATCTCTTTGTCACAATGCTGAGGTCAAAACTTGCCTCAAGACATTTGCAGCTCGCAGCTTGACAAGCAAGGGGAAGTTTCGCTCCCTAAGTCAAGTGTGAAAGCAACATGCCAATGCGTCATCGGCCAGCATAGCCGCGCCAAGGAGTGATTTGCGCGCAGGCAACAACCACCTCTTCTCCTGAGCGCGTGTCAGGCGAAGAGGCTCTAAGCCCTCCCAATTCCTTGCACAGCCTGGCCAAAGCATGCCATGGGTGCCTTCGCTTGAAAAATGGCCTGCACAGAGCGTTTGGGGGTTCTTCTTTCCCGTGGGCTTGAACGATGCTTTTGCCGTTTCCTTACCTGCATTGCCTTAATCTGTACTCGCACGATGATTGCCTCGATATGATATGGGCGATGCTGAGCGATGCTGTAGATGGGTCGTTTTTGCCGCCCTTTGATTTCAACCCTGCCAAATTCCTGCGCTGAGACGTGGCATTGTAGGAGGTATACTCGGCCTGAGGATTCATTCTCGCGTGCTTCCTGTACGAAGCAAAGAATACTTGGTGTAGGTGTAGATAAGGGACGATACTGTAAGAATATAGTAATAGCAAAAATTGGTTTCTTGGCCCGGGCAAGTGCAATTTGTACAGCGTGGCAGCGTGGTGTGTTTGATGTAGCCACTGTTGAAGGCTCCGTGGCTGGACGCCCCATTTTGCATTGCACCCACGTGGAGACCTCATTGGCTTCGGAGTTGTGCGAGGTTCTATATTCTTTCCCTCCCACAGAATGCAGCTGACACAATCACAGCCTCGAGTTCACCGTCCCAAAAACAGGAGCAGCCTCTTCCTGGCACGTCTCCGTGAGGCTTGCTGGGCATCCAGCTCTTCGTCCAGCTTTGCTGCTGCCAGCTTGGCCCTTTGCCCATTGTTTTCGGAACCCAGCCACGAAGCCAAGCTTCCATTTTGCTCACATTGGCCACATGCACTGATACACTAACCCATGCGTGGAGCCTGATACACGGCATGCTTCCGTGGACGGCAGCTACCGATCATTTTGGAAAAAAGGACCCATTGGCGCTCGGCTGGGCTCGTCCATCAATTTGCGGTGTCCTGCGTGACTCGACCCACCATCTCCATTGGAGCTGCCCGGTGCACGACCGCCGTCAGCCCGTGGCAAGTGGGCCGGACGGCTGGTCGGGCCCTTCCCCCAATCCGCCCGGATCCGCCCCGATCCAACGGACGGAGGTGGCCAAAGAAGCAACCAACATGTGGCTCTGTTGCCCCAGGTGGTCACCCTGGTGCATGAAAAACTACGACGCTTGCTGGGCACTTGCCGATGGCCACGGCCAGGGATGATGGTCACTTGTGCACGTCGGTGCCATCTGGCTGGATATATAAGATTTTACACATGTTGTATTGATTGATTGAAATCACCAAGCTTCAGCTATCTGAACTCCGCCTAGCAAAACGAGGTTGGAATCGGTCAAGTATGAAGGATTGTAGTGGTATTTGAATCTATATTTGACAAGTACTGCTGCCTGAGAGGCTAAGCTGGATCACGGGTCCCACACGGCCTTCGAGCTCTGACTCTTCCTACCCCACACGTTGCCGTTGCATAGCTTCCGTCCACTCGACCCAAGCCTGTAGTGCGTTCTAAATCATATTCATATCACACACATTGCTTCACAGACCCCACCGCCCACAGATGCTTGTCAACTCTATTTCTTCTTCTTCTTCTTCTTCTACCTTGCTCGCGTGCTGGCATCTCTGTACGTGCACATGTGTGAATGCACAATATCCACACGCAGCCATTCCCTTTCTCAGCAGGAAGCTTTCCTATTATTTCTTGAACCATGCAGGTCTGCATGACAAGAAATGCGTGGTTTCATCAAGTTGCGTGAGCGTAGTTTGTTAGTTATTTTTTAATATTTTTTTGATACCGCCACTGTATGCCACTTGGGGTGACACGGGTGGCATGAAATGGTACTAACTGATGTTGGGCCAGCCAACAGGTATGTGCGTCAGCCAACACGAGTCACAAAAAAACCACGTCAGAGTCAGCCAACATCTGCATCGAAGTCAGCGAACAGCCACGTTGATACCAGCGAACCGCTGCGTTGAATTCGGCCAACCGACTTTTTTTGCAATTGTATCAGGGTAACATGCGAAATCACAAATCCTGACTGGTTTGTGGCCAAGTACATTGGATGCGACATACAAGCAGCAGGACATCAGTGTGATGGACTGGGTCCGTAGGGACATGATGAACGAGAAAACGAAGTGCAGGACGTCTGGTGGGTGAGGTGCTTGCTGTGCGTGGTGGGTGTGGGGGCTATGACCGGCACTCAACTCACCTAGTGTGCACGCAGCACTTAACCACTTGCACACACGGCGACACTTGCGCACAGCAACTCACGTGTGCACACAGGGATGGGGGCCCTGCCCTTCCGGCTCGGAGTGGCTTTTGACCATGACGCCAATGCTGGCCCAGGCTTCTCTTCCACCGCTGCGCGTGTGGCACCGCCACATGGTCCTGCGTTTGTTTGCACCACACCAGACCTCATGGTTGGCCTTTTGGCATGTGCACTTCGCCGGTCGGGTGATTGACGTTGCCTTCCGTGTTGCTCCGGTCCTAGATGTGGCCGCGAAAAGACTTCGCCCAGAGAGAAGACGTCACACGTGATTGCAGTTCGTTCGGGTTTCGCTTTGGTAAGGCTACTATACCCTACCAAAAATTGTTCTTCCAGTGCGAGGGGAAAAAGAAAGCAGTTCAGGCAAGAACGCTTTTGCGCCTAATGATGAACCTGATGCTAACAGACGCGCTCATGGACGGGATCACAGCTCAGTCGCGCAGTTGCCTAGCTCATCCCCCCACCCCCCAGTAACAGTTCAACAATGGATTTGCTACCAATTGACCTGATGAAAAGTAGCACCAGCAAATTGCCCGAATTTTAGCTTCAAATTTGACATATGTGGTGATTCTTTTCCAATTCATGCTGTCTGAAGGCTCAATCAACGGCCAAGCTTGACAAACCCAAACGTTTAGCTCCCACCATTCATCCATCATTGCTTTACCTCATCCCTTTCTCACGTCCATCCATTCTGAATATGAAACAGATCACCAGTTTTTTCTCGTCTGCAGATCTCTGGAAGGGGGCCTTATGAAACAAAATAAAGCCTTGCCAAGTTGGCCGCTGAGGAGATGGCCCCTCACCTTCAACCCTCGAGCATGAAGTTTCACCAATCTAGTAAATCTAGCACCAGAAAAAAACACAATCAGAAACGCAATCAGAAGCACAAGAAAAAAACGCACGCGGGACTGAGCACCAGATTTGACGAAATTTTGCATCAGAAAAACACAATCAGAAGCACAAGAAAAAACACACACTTACACTTGAAAGGAGCGCCCAGCAACTGGCCAGCCCCCGCTCCAGCACCAGCCGCACATGTAAAGGAGGAAAGGCAACCCACCAAATCATTTGTAGTAACAAGAAGCTACTAGGAACAAGGGCATCGCTACTAGTAACAAGTGCCTTACTAGTAACAAGAAGCTAGTAGAAACAAGTGCCTTACTAGTAGTAACAAGAAGCTAGTAGGAACAAGTGCCTTACTAGTAGTAACAAGAAGCTAGTAGGAACAAG